ATCCGCGATGCCCGCACCCAGCTTCAGCGGCGCGCTCAGATGACGCCCCGCGGCGGAGTAGAGCTGGAGGGCGGACGGGGCAGGGGGGGCGAGGCCTGGTCAGCTGGGGCTGGGGCTGGGGCACGACGGATCCACCATGCACACGCTTTGCTGGCGGGCCCCAGTGGGGGCCGCCCCGCCGTGGAGCGACCACCGGCCCTGGCCTCACCTGCAGCTGCCCATCCGCCAGCCCCACCGCTGCAAAGTTGTGCGTGCCGCAGGCGGCCACCGCCGCGCCGCGCAGCGTGTCGCTCCACACCACCTCCCTCCCCTGCTGGCAAACCACCTCCGCCTGCACGCGGCTGGCCAGGCCCTCCGCCACCGGCCGCTCGCGGTTGGTGACGCGCAGCTGGCGGCGCGGCTCGGCGGCTGCCGCAGACGGGTCTTCAAACAGGCGTGGCGGCGCCCCCAGGTCAGCCACCACCTCTGCCGGCACCTCTGGGCCCCGCAGCATGATGTGGGGCGCCGCCAGCGCCGGGGCGCCGCCTGCTGCTGCTGCGCCGCTGGCCGGGGCGGCGGCGCGGCCGGACGTCGGCGCCGCGCGGCCGCTGCCTGGCCCAGAGGCGGGCTCGGGCCGCGGCCGCTTGGCCTCCTGCTGCTGCACCGCCGCGGCGCGAGGCGGCGGCGGCGGCATCAGCTCGGCTGATGCGTGCGGGTGCATGTCGGGGGGCTGCCGCCCGATGGGCTCCGGCGCCAGCCGCTTTCTGACGACGGGCGCGCCCTCTGCTGCCGCTGGCGCATCAAAGCCCAGCTGCACCTCGCCGCCGCCCATCCCTCCCAGCCTGGCACTCAGAGCATCCATGTTCTGCTTGGCAGAGGGCTGCAGGGCGCGCTCCACAGCCGCCGCCTGCTGCCGCTGCTGCGCCGCCGCCGCCTGCGGCACCGCCGCCGCCGCCGCCGCCTGCCGGGCGGCCGCCGGCTCCGGCACCGGCGGCACGGCTGCGGCGGCGCCGCCCTGAGCGGCGCCTGCCGCGGCCGCCTCTGCCGCAGCCTCCAGCGCCAGCTGGTCTGCGCTCTCCGCAAACAGGTGCTTGCCGGGGGCGCGCCGCGCGCTGCCGTAACATCTCCTGAAAGATGGCGTCCAGCTCCTGCTGCGTGTTGGGGCGCCCCAGCTCCGAGGCAGCAAACTGGAAGCACGCCACGGTGCCTGCGGCGGCGGCGGCAGCAGCAGCAGCAGCAAGCAGGTGAGCCAGAGATCTCAACAAGTGCCCACGCTTCTGCCCCGTATATGTGTGCCGTATATGGGAGCAGGAGGGCCTGGTCAGGGCCTCAAACGCAGCAGGCGTGAGGCGGCGAGCGGCAGCCAGCGCGCGCGCGCCTCACCGTCGCTGGATGCCGCCAGCGCTGTGTACCCGTCTGGCGACCAAGCCAGGTCGGTCACCTGGCTCCTGAAGAAGCGCTTGCCCACCATGAGCGGCGTGGGGCGCGCCGCGGCCCACACTGCAGGCACCAGGCGGGGCAGGTGCTGGTCGAGGGGCAGCGGGGCAGGGAGCGGGGTGCAGCATGGCACCGGCAGCAGCCTGGGCGGGGCACATGCGGCGCCGCACCTGACACCCGCTTGTCCTGGCTGCCCAGGGCAAACACGCTGCTCAGCATCTCCTCCACCTCCCCTGGGGCGCCTCCCTTCTTAGGCAGGTGGAAGAGGCGTGGGTTGAACCCCACGCTCACCACGCAGCCTGCGTCACAGGCGGAGCAAGGGGCCAGCCACCCCAGGCAGCACATCAGCCGCGGACTCAAAAGGCAGGCAGGCAGGCAGGCAGGCAGGCAGGCAGGCAGCTGCACCTCCCCTGCCACACATTGATGCCGGCACGGCCCCCCGGCGCCTGCCGCCGCCGCCTGCTGCCCATGGCTTTGCTGCCCCGCGCCTCACCCTGGTGCCCGCTGACCAACATGTGCTCCCTGTCCTCATTCCACCGCCCCCGCTGGATCACCACCGCCGCATGGGACGAACCCTGGTAGCTGTTGCCTGCGCCAAGGGAGGAGGTGACCGCCGCAGGGCAGCAGGAGCAGCAAGGTGAGCCGCCGCTGAGCGCAGGCAGGCGGGCCTCCCCCAGGACTCCCCTCACTGGCTCCTGGCACCTGGCCTGGCACCAAGCCGCGCAGCTGAAGCCCCGCCACCCAGCCTTGTCCCCTGCCTCTGGCCCAGCCCAGCTGCCCCTCCTGCCTGCGCACCCGTGGCCAGGAAGGATCCGTCGGGGCTCCAGCTCATGCGCGTGGAGAAGTGGAGGAGACGAGGCGGGCGTAGGGCGCCCTGATGGACGCCACCACGCTCCAGTCGTCGCACCGCCACACCA